TTACAAGTATTATAGTGAAAATTTTAAAATCTGAAAATTGAAAATATTATTCCCACATGATTATATAATAAATATTGTACTTATAAACAATCCTAAAAGCTCGTCTAATGTTTTTAAGGTTTTTCTTCTTAAAATATTTAAATTCTATACTTCTCTAATTGAAATGATACTGGAGGATTATTTGAAGAATTTTTACATGTTTCTAGCCACTGTAAGAAAGTGAATATTATACATAATATATTATAACAATGATTTTATAGAAAGGACTTTCTGTAAGAGGTTTTGCATGGCCTGAACAATACAATCAATGATTATTATATGTTTTAAGCAATTTATGTTCCTTTATAACTAAATTTTAAAAAGTTAAGAATTTAGTGCATATTTTCTATGATCACATTCAGTTTTAAATAATACTAAAATGCTAAGAATATAATTCCAAAATCCTTGATGTTGACAAACATGTATGTTCCTATGTACTGAAATAATATATAACTCACTCATTCGACTGAAATAAAGTTAAAATATCTTTCTCATAAATTTCATATATAGGGAATTATGATCTCAGTGAAAGGAGGATCAAAAATCCCATGACCAGCCTTTGGGAAATTTTATGGAAAACTGAAAGTTAATAGACAAAGAACTTCTTACTTTATGAGGAGATATGATATTAATTGATATTTAAGAGAAAATTCTATGGTTTCTAGTTTATATGGTAAATTTTGTTTTCATTTGTTGTGAAATAGAGAAATGCATACAGATTTACATTGGAGGGGAATGAAATTAACACTAGAATAATAACACGAGTTATTAAGTTTAGGACTTTAAAAAAATTTTAAACCCTTTTCCAAAGAAACTCAAACACTTTATGTCTGATTACATTTTAAATTAAGTTTATTTTTCTTTACTTGTACAACTTTAATGAGTAATAAAGAAAGCATGTTTGATAATGTGTGCTCATATTAATCTAAAGTAGAAGTTTCCAAAACCTTTGGGGAAAAAAGTGCAAACAATCTTGTGAGACACGCAGTAAGAATGTGTTATCTCTTTCCTTAGTTCACCACAGTCCGTTTAACTAAGGATTCTGTACTTTATGGAAGGTAATACATGTGTGAGACTAATCAAGAGTTACCTTCTTAGCATAAGATTGTAGTAAAATGTCTCCAAAGATTTAAGTGACAAGAGAAACTATCTACACACACAGTGCATTTGTTGCTGAAATTACTGTTGTAAAGAAGTATGAGCTTTGGAAGATCATACATGGTCTTGGGAACTCATATAAACAGGTTTCTACAGTCAAAAGCTTCCTGTGTTAGGAAGTAAGAATAATGTCACTATTAAACACACTTCTACTTTCCCTTTTACTTCCTAAAATGCAAAATTAACTCTATATATTGTAGTTTATGCCTCCGCATTTCACTCTCATTTTATGATTAGGTTGGCTGTCAGCATTTGTATGGGATTAATTTATATTAGTTTCATTAATATTCAATATATTGTACTTAATTCATATTAACTATATTTGAAATATTGTAAAGGTCATTACATATTTCAAAAGAATTTTATCATGAGGGTTCTAAAGTAAACTGTGGAACTTGAATCTCTTGAAAATGATATACAAAACAGAAATTAAAACTATGTATTTTTAAAATGTTTAGGAAAACTTTTGACTGGCTTGATGCATTTTGTTCTATGAGAGCATATCAAAATTATTTGTAGTAGTACTACAAGCATGTGAAATCAGATCTTCAAACACAACTGGAAATCCTGTCATCAGTGAGAAGTCCCCAGCTTCCTTCCCTCGGGAAAGAACTTCATTGAAAACACCTGTTGAGAAGTCACCTGAGATCAACTTATGCTTCTGTTGTTTATTTTGTCTTGTTTTCTTGAAACTGGGCCTCATGTACCCCAGCCTGGCATCAAACTCTCTATGAAACTGAGAATGGCTTTGAACTCCTGACTCATTCTCCTGTCCCTGTCTCCCTAGTGCTGGTTTTCCAGGTGAACTTACACATGTTCAATCACAATTAGGGGTTATTCTCTGGACTTGGTAAAGATTTCTCCTTAGCGTTGCATTTCATATTACCACATGAACTAATACAAGTGGAAACTTGCATACTTTTGGAAAATGGTCTTCCAAATTTGTTTGACAGTTGTTCTTACCTACTGCAGAAACTGTGTTCCTATGCTTCAATATCAGTTTAATAATCTTAAAATAAAATATTTCATTTTAAATTTATGGTATTAAAACCAATAGTATATTAGCTGTTTTAGCCACTCATCTGTTCTTTAAACACTTTTGAATGTTTGTGAGCTTTATAAAATTCTAAAAATAAAATCTCTAATCACAAATCTGTTTCTATACCAGGTGGAATGATTCTGTGTCACATACAGTAAAAACACTCCTGTCCCCAAACAACAACTGTAAATACTACCTTCAGACCCTGTGAACAAAGTACTTTGAGGCAGAAGTTCCTGTGTTTTATATCACCATATTGCACAGGGTATTGCAATGAAATTGTGAACATCTATTCAAGCCATTTATAAATGCATACTATGCAATTTCAAAACAGCATTCAAGATACTGGAAAATAAAGATGAATCACACCTAGTAGCTGTTAATCTAAGTTCATTTCGTGGAATAAAAGTCTACCTTCAGAAAGATATGTGAGGTTAGTAGCATATTTACTCTGTAAGATGAACAAATAGGCTTGACACTGGATTATGGAATTCCTGAAGACTCTACCTTAAACATGCCACTTCAGCACAACGCGTTTACATCATAATCATTTAGAAACAAGAGAAAAGATAGACAGAAAGCAACTGGCCAACTTATAATGATCTCCGTAATAAATATTAAAATGAATCTGGTACATTTCAATGAAAATTAATTTATTGGTGTTTTATAAAGCATCACTTAAAGAAGTGCAAAAACTCCATGGGGGCTGGATGGGGAGCCTATTTTAGTAGTTTAGGTTGACGTGTTTTTAGGGCAGAAGCAATATGGGAAAGGGACCCACTATGAAAGATCATCAACTTAAAACTAAAGCTCATTTTGTCCCTTGGTGGCATGGACTAAATTTTTAAAAAGGAAAGAATAGCAAGACAGTCTTTTGCTTTCTGTTTAAGTTGCACAGAGTGGGTTCGGTAATATATGATTCACTTGGTGTAAATTTTAATCTAGTGAGAAGTCACCATCCTCATTCTCAACCAACTTTAAGGCATTATCTCTAAATTTAGGAGGAACACTCACTTCCCTAAAAAGTCTTGGCTATTTCTACTCAAGATTGTTCTTCACTATTCTTACTAAGAACCCAGACTTACTGAAAATTCAACTGTACCAGCTTCATTTCATGTTTCTTAATGTTGAAAATTAAATGAGAATTCAACTGGCAGCACTTAGAGGATTAAGCATTAACCCTTTGTGACATCACTTTCTTGCCAGTGGTATAAACATGGGGAAGCTATATAAAATGCTTGCAATCCAAAATGAATACAGCACATCTATAAATAAATGTTTTAGCATATCTTTCTCTATAGAGATATTGGACATAAATATCCTTTCACATAATCATAGAAAGGCTCTCACAGAAATGAGGATTTTAAGGTTGAAATTTTCTTTTTATGTTTTATATAAACCATCAATCCTTGATTGTTCATATACAGTAAATACTGTACAAAATAGGATTTTGATAATTTGATATTAGATAGTACGAATTATGAACCTGTTTCTCATGAACACTATTTTGTTAAAGGAAATATAAGAAGACTAAGATCTGAAGTTTCATTACACCTTTTGAACAAAAGTAACTGAACTAAGTCAAGTCTCATAAAAAATTTTTCGCTTTTCAAACATAATAATACGGACAAATGACTTTTCATTTATCTCAAAAAAATCTTCCCCCCAAGTGTCACTTTTGCTTAAGCTCAGTTTTGAACTTTAAGCACTGCTCATTCAGAGTAATGTGCAACAACACATACTGATGCATATTATGATAACTGAAAATTAAGTATTTCTGTGACACAAGTCAATGGTGAATAAAATTAGATGGTGACTAGACCATCACAGCACAGTCACTTTTTCTTAATAATTGATGTCTATGGTTTGCCAATGATTTAGTTGTCATCATATGTTAATAACATTTAATTTTGTTATCTATAATACCTATTAAATATGTAGATGTCCTGGAAGTACTGTGCAAACTACAGACAAAATAGGAGTCAGTGCAATTTTGTTCTCTGTCCTCAAAAGCCTAAAATGATCCTCTGAACCTATGAGATAGACTGCTGATTCTTCAGTGACTACATGAAACTCACAGGAAACCCTAGGGCAGAGCAAATTCAAATCTTTCATAGACATTTACTGGTCACTATCCAGGCCTGCATATATTCAAATTATTTAAAGCACTTCAGAATATATCTCACTTTTCAAAAACGTCAGCTAAATTTCATTTGAAGAATAAATGGGGCTCGTGTCCCTTAAAACACTTTCAGGATATAAAACTAATTTGGAGGGTGTGTGAAAACTTTGTTCAAATTGATCCATGATTTAGACTTCTAACTGGTGGTTTACTCTGTACTCAAGGAGTTAACTTAAATTTGTGACCTAAATTTCATGTTTCATCAAAAAAATGGAATAAAACTCTGTGTAAGAGAGTAACTTTTTTTTTCTCCTGTGGCAATCCTGTTATGGAAAGAAATACAGTTCCAAATATAAAATAAACATTGAATAGTGACAGTTCCTATCATTTTAAAAATCTATAAAAATAAACTTTAAAACAGAACAGAAGTGAGGCATGCACGTCTGGGAGGTCTTAAACTATTTACGAGGGAGGGCTTCGCATAGAATAGGGTGTGGACACACTATCAAAGATGTAAACCATGTGCATTTCAATACACCCCTCTCTCTGCTGCTGGCTGTGTGGCCCGCCTGTCTCAAAGCCCTCAGGACAGCATCAAAAGCAGCTTCAACTCAAGTCCCATTTATGCTAAAAGTCTCCTACCTGAATTATGGACATCCGAGTGGCAGGGGTCTCGCTTGAATTAGTCCCTTGTCCGGTGAAGCTGGTGTGGCAGCCTGCGTGCCCCTGAGGGACAGCCAGGTTGTTGGAGGCTGGCTTAAGATACATCACCTCTGACCGGGGTGAGCTGAGGGGCAGGCGGGTTTGGTAGTCGAAGTACATGGGGGAGGTGGCCAGGGAGGGACTGCTCACCACGTTCATGACGTTCATGGCGTTCCTCTCCTCCACCTCACTCTGCACCAGCATGATATCATTTTTGTTGATCTTCTTCTTCTTGCCTTTCCCCCCGCCCAGCTGCGGGTGGCTGTATTCGGCGATGCGGCAGTTGTAAGTGCGAATCTCCTTGTTTTCGCGCTTGCACTTCACAGCGATGGTGATCATGGCCGCTAGGAGGATGATGGAGATCGTGCTCAGAGTCACTATGAGTGGCAACGACATGTCCCAGTGGTGCTGCTCACCATTCACTCGAGGTACCCCCTCAGGTAGAGAGCCGCTCACAGAGCGAATGATGAGCTTGGCCACCGCTGACAGGGTGGGCTTGCCATGGTCGGTCACTTTCACCACCAGCTCCACCACAGGTGTCACGTCCTCCCAGAAAGGGTGCAGCGTGCGGATCTCGCCGCTGGATGGATCGATCTCAAACAGGTGGTCGTCGTTGCCGTCCACAATCTCGTAAGTGAGGCGCCCGCTCTCTCCAAAGTCGCTGTCCAGGGCGCGCACTGTGCTTACCAGGTAGCCCAGGCCAGCGTTACGCGGGACCTGAAGCTCAGCGGTGTCGTTCTGCAGCGTGGGAAGTACGATCACTGGAGCGTTGTCGTTCACATCTAACACTGTCACCCTCACCGTGGCATTGCTCTCTAAGTGCGCGGGTGCCCCGGAGTCCTTAGCCAGTACCTTGAACTCAAATGCCTTCGTTTGCTCATAGTTAAAGGAGCGCAGGGCATATATGGCCCCGTTTGTGGGGTTCACGGACACATAGGTGTAGATGGACACGTCGCCGATGTGCGAAGGCAGAATGGAGTAGGACACTGTCCCATTTTGGCCCAGGTCGGGATCCTGGGCGAGCACAGAGCCCAGGTATTCCCCTGGAATGTTGTTCTCGTGCACCTGGAGCACATACAGCCCTTTGGTGAACCGAGGAGGGTTGTCGTTCTCGTCCAGTATCTTGACAGCGAATGACTTGGTGGAGTTGAGGGGAGGGGAGCCCCCGTCCCGTGCCACGATTGTCACATTGTATTCGTCTTGGGTCTCGCGGTCCAGCGGACGGTCAGTCACCACAGTGTAGAAGTTGTCGTAGTTCTCTTCAAGCTTGAAGGGGACGGAACCTCCCGGCCCGCCTAGGCCTCCGCCGCCGCCAGTACCTCCTCCACCCAGCACCCGGCACTGCAGCTGCCCGTTCTTGCCTGAGTCTCGGTCAGTGACCCGAACCAGGGCGATCACAGTGCCAGGAGGGGCGGCCTCGCTGAGCGCCCCCTGGCGCACGGAGACGAAACCGATGGACGGCGCGTTGTCATTGCGGTCGATGAGCTTGACAGTGACCTTGCAGTGGGCAGGAATTGGGTTAGGTCCCAGGTCTCTGGCCTGCACGTCGATCTCTAGCATACCATTCTCCTCATAGTCCAGGTTGCCCTTTACACGGATCAGACCGGTCTTGGGATCAATGGAGAAGAGCTCCCGCACGCGGTCGGGCACGTAGCTGCTGAAAGAATACAGCACTTCCCCGTTGGGACCCTCATCAGCGTCGGTGGCATTTAGATCAATGACCACGGTGCCCAGGGGGGCGTTCTCGGGCAGTTCTACCAAGTAGGACGGGGCCTCGAAGACTGGACTGTTGTCGTTGGAGTCGATCACCTTCACGTTGATCTGTACGGTGGCAGACCGCGGAGGCTCGCCGCCATCCAGGGCAGTCAACACCAGAGTGTGGTGGTTCTGCTGCTCCCGGTCCAACGCCTTTTGGATGACCAGTTCTGGGAACTTGGTGCCGTCTCCACGGGACTTGACGTCCAATGCAAAGAGGCCGTGGTCATCGCGTGTGAGCAGGTAGGTGCGGAGCCCGTTCTCGCCGGCGTCTGGGTCGTGTGCGCTGGTCAGGGGGAAGCGGGTGCCTGGGGCCGCGTTCTCGGAGATGTCCATCTCGATCTGGTCAGAGGGGAAAGACGGAGCGTTGTCGTTGATATCCTGGATTTCCACCTTGATCATGCAGATCTCCTTGTCGTTAGCGAACACCTCTAGGGACAGCTGGCACTTGGCATTGTGGCGGCACAAGGACTCACGGTCGATGCGCTGCTTGGTGTAGAGGAGCCCGCTGTCAGCGTCCACGTCCAGCAGGTGAGGCGCAGAGTTCTCCAGAACCCTGTAACTGCCGGACTTGCTTCGCCCGCTGCTGCTACCGCGCTCAGCCGGCGGAAGCCCGGGCTGCAGTCGAGCATCCTTACCGATGTTGCCTATCACAGTGCCGGCCCCTTGCTCCTCTGGCACTGAGTAGTTGAGGTTTTTGAGTGTCAGGGCAGGGGCCCATAAAAGAAAGCAGCAACAGATGGAAAGGTACATCCCCGACCGCTGGGGTGGGCGCAGGGGCAGCGGGACTGGAGCGTAAAGCGGATGTGTGCTTGCCAGCCTGGGACCCCGGCGTAGCGTGCGCGTTCGGATCAAGTCCCAGGTCTGTGGGTCGTTCCTTTCCTCCGCACCCGGACTGCGGCACCAGGCAGTCTCTCCTTTTTCCGCTCAACTTGCCCGAACCTGTTGATCTACAGCATCCGCACCCGGCTAGAAGCTGCCGTGCAGCGAAGCTGCAGTGACTCCGAGGAAGGCGGCGGCTCCCTGCGGCTGCGGGCGAGCCCCAGGCTTTGTCTCTCCCGCCTGGACTTCGGAAGGCTCAAACTTGCACGATGAGGCTGGCGGTAAGAAGGAAATCGTGTCTGGGAGGGATGATAATGAGCTGAAGAATCGGTGGGTTTTCCTCGCTCCCGCTAGGCGCTGCAAATCCACTCCTGCCGGCAGACTACGGAATACTCTTCACATCGGGTGGGGGAGGGCTTAGGGAGGTGTGTCTCCAGGCAGATCGGAAAGTGAAATCCTTTCTTGTTACTAGTCTCCAGTGATGAAATTGATGGGGATGAGGAGGAACGACGAAAGAGTCACAGATATGCGCATATATATTTTTCCTTTCTCTTTTTCTTTCTTTCTTTTATTTTTTGTTGTTGTTGTTTTGGTATTTTTGAGGCTTCCCTGGCGCACTGTGAAATGTCTGCTTGCTGCGTCCGCTGGTCGGTTTTCAGGCGGCGTTTTGCTGCATTTAGAGATCTAATCTTGCATTGCTGGCTTAGGCACTGGCAGCGGCGGACTGCATCTCCCAGCCAAGCGTATTTTTCTTTCCTGCCTCTCTCTCTCTTTCTCTCTCTCCTTTCTGAGCAGTCAAAGGGAGGGGAGGAAATGCAGCGCAAAAAACTAGTGTCCCGATTTGTAGTTTCCTCCCCCTATCAGGCTCCTCCCTCTCTTCCTCGGAGAAGGCTCTACCCCCAAATCAAGGAAGCCACAGTCTGATGAGCATTTGCGCTGAGAGTCTATTGGGAGGGGAAAATATAGAGATATATCTCCACCTCTGTTCATAGAACACCCTCTGGTGTCTCTACGCCAAGCCAGAAGCTGCCACTACCATCCTATCCTCTTCCCGCGAGCGAAGACTTCTCTCTCTCCATGCAGTTTAATTCCAGTTTGCTTCTCTTCGCAGGCGAAAGGAAATCAACAGGCAACTCTTGGCTGGACGTGCAGATTTGAAGGGGGAGGGGGAAGGCAGAATAAAAAGGAAGGGGGAGCCACCCTCCCAGCCCTAGCACACACACTCTCCCTGTCTCTAGCTAGCAGGGAAACAGTCTCTGCATTCACAGGGCTGGGCTGTCAAGTGCCTCTCTTTTCTTTCTATTCAGCATCTCCTTCCAGTGGCCCAGCCTCCCAGTCCTCTTCATCTAGAAAAGAAAACCTTGGCTAGGAATGAGTGGTGGATATTTGAAAAGAATAAAGTGCGGGCTTTTTTTTCCCCTCCTCTTAATTTTTTTTTTCTTTTTTTTAATAGTAGAAGGAATGGGGTAGAGGAAACACATCAAGGTTTGGAGTGATGCATTCTGCAGTCTCCCTCTCTCGGTCTCCGGTCGACTTGGGGAGGGCAGAGAGCGAGCAGCCGCGGTCGCCGGGGTCCTGCGGTGGGGGGGGGGGGGGGGGGGCACGCCGGGAAGCTGCTTCCACCTCCGAGAGGAGATTAGGAACGGGTTGAGCTACACATTATTTCGGCTTCTCCAGGCGCCTCGGTTAACGGGAATGACACATCCAGAAATGCAGGTGTTCTGGTCTGCCAGATGAGTCAGAAGAAGCAGAACGAATCTTATTCACTCTCCCCTCACGGTCCTCCCTTCGCAGACATTAGTTGCTGCGTCTTCCTAATGCTTTCTCTGACTCACTCAATAGGGGAAAGAAAGAAAGAAAGGGGGGGGGGAAAGCCAGATTCATGTTTGGGGGGAAAAAAGAGAAACCGAGAAAAAGAGAGTGGGGGAGGAAGGCGAAGCTGAATCCAGCGGCACTTTTACTCTACCTCTTTCTGCCGGAGTCCCCGAGGTTCTGCAAAACAAGGCGTCTGCTTTGCTTACGAATATATGTTTTTTTTTTAAACAACAACAACAACTGTCGAATTGCTTAGGCGTGAGATGCCCCCAAATCTCTCAGTCTTAGGGGAAGAAAAAAAAAATCAGGTTTCCAATAAGGATTCACAGCTTAGCCCAGGATCATAGTTCAAGATTTTCCTCTCAGTGTTCTCTATTCACAAGTCCAGCATCGGTGTGCATAGCTAATTGTGCAGTCTGTTGTGGAGGGATTTTTACTATTATTATTCCTCTTTTTTTCTGTCACGGGTGGTCTCTTTCAGTCTGGTGCCTGTCAGAATCACCCCAAAGCCTGAGCAAGACGTGCAGATTTCAAACCAAATAAATCCATCTCCGCTAGCCGAGCCGCGGAGGAAATAAAAGGTGAAAATTCAATTCAACAGTTGGAGTAGCGTCTCCGGGCCGCCCTCGGCCGCTGCGGCATCCGCCGAGATCGCCGTCCCAGTTCTCTCCCCAGCGTCTCTGGCTGACTGACTCTATTCACCTCACGCCGCCGCTTAAACATTGATACTGATTCTTTGCCAGCCAATCGGCGTGGGGAGCCAGGCCCTGCCTCCTCGACCCACGCCCAATGGGAGGCGAGGAAAGGACTGGCGGGGCGGAGCCAACAGCCCCAGCGCTTTAGAGTCATTGACTAGATGTGTTAGACCGGAAGGCAGCACAGCCCGCTGCTCAGTCACGGGTCTCCCGAGTCTTTGACTACTGGGAGAAGCAACTCTATGTCTTCCTCTAGAAAGAAAGACAGGAAAAAGTTTGCCAATGATTCGATTTTATGTGGGGATCGGATACACCCACAGACCCGGGAAATACTTCATGCTTGCAGAATAAGGTATCTGAGCTCTTCCTAATGAATTTCTCTACACACATACATGCACACGTCGTCAGTGTACATACGCCCATGCCAAGGGAGGTGCAGATTATCTGAGTCCTCGTTCACTCGTCTGAATGAGGTGCCGTCGTGGGGGGGGAGGTGTTGCTGCTTTCTGTCCCTTGAGTTGAACATCAGAGAGAGCTTGTGAAGTCGAGATTGCTGCCAAGCCCGCTTCTGCTAACAGGGAAGCAAACACGCCAGGAGCAACAGCAGTCAATATGTAACATTCTTCATCCTCAGAGAAATATCAGCTGTCCCCAAGCACCCATGCAAGGAAAGGCACTTGATTACGAAACTGTTTCAGAAGAAAAGCAAACGCCGGTGAAAACAGAGGCCGTGACTCCTCAGAGGAAAATAATTTCACTTTTAAGGAGCTTTGCCGCATCATAAAACTATAGTCTGGCTTACTAATATTTAACGTTCTACCTTTTGAGTCATCTCCTCCTATATCACCACATTCAAGGTAATCCGGTCTTTGTCGATACCCAACCCAGTTCCATTGGCGTCTAGTTTATGTCCAACTGTGTTATTAAAATTTCAAATAACAATTTGAATATTATTCTTTTAAACTAAATAACCATGGATCCTCACATTTGAAACATATCTTATGTATACAAGAGCTGTTAAGCATGATGGTAGATAAGTAGAGGTTCTAAAATTCCCGTTTTATAAGTTATACACACACACACACACACACACACACCATCACCACCAGCACCAGCACCAGCACCACCAACCACCACCACCACCTTGACTCTAAATGTCCCCCCCCCCGAAATGAGAACTCTCAAAGCTTGCTTTTACCCAAATTAGTATCATAAACAGCCACAACTGGAGACTGATTTGCTCCAGATCCAACAGCTCTGGGAAAGAGTTAAGACAAAAAAGAAACTGATGTATTGAAATAGAAAAGGTGAGTGTTTTGATTGCTAGAGTATTGATTGCAATTCATAAATACTGAAGTTAAGTTGCCATTTATAAATTGTGAATGACTAACGTACAAATGTGTAACATGAATCATTCAGGATTTCAAAGAAAATCAAATCTAGACCAATTACAAGAAAGTTCTGAAGATTGTTTTGGGATAATTGCTTAAAGATTCAGGTAAAGGAGCTATTAATTTCCAGGAGCTTCAAGGAGATAACCTATAGCCTGAATTTACAGTCTGGACACTGCCAAATCTACCACTCCCTTAAGAGATTAACAACTCAAAAATTCAAAGCAAAGCCCTTTTCAGTCAGACCCTCAAGTCCTGCCTTTTCTTTTCTAAATAGGTGGTTTATCATGCATAAGATTTTACTAAACAAGGGACTTAGGTTGCTTTGCTGAGTGAGAATTTAAGCACACAAACTTACACAACCCCAGCTTTCTGTCTCTGTGGCTATTTCTTTTGGCCCAATATATACACTTAAAAGTTGAGACCTTGGGTCTTTAAAAACTGAGGTTACTTAAAGAGTAAAGATCACATATATTCACACCTTCATCTATTAATCACCCCCCCCACCCAGTACCAGGGATCAAACCCAGGGCCTTGCAAAACTAAACAAGAGTTAGCTATATCCCAGGCCCCATTAATAATGACTTAAAAATGATAAATTTAGAGATGTTTTGAGTTGCACACTAATGAAACATCTTTACTTGAGATTCACTATAATACAAAAGGAAACAAGACGTTCCAAGGAAAGTTATTATGGTTTATTGATTGGTCTTAATTAGATGCAATGTTATGCAGTTGAAGGGCGATTGGAAACGCAATGCCTTAAGAAGGGACTACATGATGTGAAAAATGTATTCTCAGAGGCACAAATTTGCTCAAAACTCCCTTCAGAGTAATTATGTCACACCGCCTCCTAGTGTGCACAGAAAGAATTACATGCATATGGTGAATGCCTCAGGGCATCTGCCCAAGGAGAAAAACCCAAGCATCTTAGATTTCATTTAACTTGTAGCATTGAATTTGGTTATTGAATACTGATATGAACCTTAATTGGTAAATTTCATCTTTATGATCTATTCTAAGGAAATGAAACATGACAATATCTTAGTTCCAATTGTTTCATTTTTAACCAATTATGACAATCACACAGTTTTAAAAATAATTTTAACCATTTTTAGAGCTCTATTTTTCTCTCAGAATAGATCTTGTGTTCAAAGTATATTTATGCAATAGTGTATTAGCAATTATCCTTAAACTATCGACCTCAATCGGAAAAAAAGAGAAATGACAGAAATAGACAGCTCAAAAATCATACTTCTTTTTATGCTATAGAAGTCTGTACACAGACAGATGTGGTGGC